GCCGAGGGGTGGCTCGGGTGGGGGAGGGGGAGAGGCTGGGCGCTGAGTGTTTGTAGGGTTGCCAGGTGCCCGGTATTTCCGCCTCCTGGCCGAGGAAAAATTCAGAAAATACCGGACATTTCCGGTGTCCGGTATTCTCTGAATTTTTTTTACTGGACAGGAGCCGAAAATACCGGACTGTCTGGATGGATACTGGACACCTGGCAACCCTAGCCTGGGGGTGGGGGAGCAGTAGGGCCTCCTTGGGCCGGATCCACCCGCTTGGTGGGCCTCATCTGGCCCGTGGAGGCCCTTTTGCCCACCCCGGCTCTCATCTATGGGGAGCATGTTGGTACCGCGTGTTGCTGCAGGAGGTGGTACCCTCGTGCCGCCCGTGCCACGTCGTGTTTCTGCACTCGCAGCCCAGTTCGCACCAAGTTCTGTGAGCGGGTCCTGCCTCTGCTAACCGAAAGCCAAGTGAAGCTGTGAGCAATAGTCTTGGCCGTTGGGGCAGAGGCCTCACACCAGGCCTGTGATACCAGGGCTTATGTTTCAGACCCTCCTCTTCCCCTGACTTATGGAGGGTGTAGTAAGATAAGAATGGGTCCAGAACCAGGCCGTGTTCCTGGCAGGCACTAGGGACAGGTGGATGGAGCCCACGTGAGCCTGGGCCTTGCCAGTATGCGCAACCCGGATTCCCCGGGTGAATATCTCGTGTTCATTTAGCCCGGTGGCGTCCGACCCTTCAACACTGGGCCCTGCCTCCCATGGACCTTGGATCCAGGCAGGTTGCTGGCCCCAACCTGAGCACACTTTTCTCAAGCGGATCAAAGCCCCAAGATCTGCTGTGAGTTGCATGGGTTCAGACTAGGCCCCGGCAGTGGAAGCAGAACCCAGCTCTCTGGCCCAGGCTGGGAAGGGGGAGAAAGGACAAGTCCCTGCATGCTGTTCTGGGCAATGGTCCCTCTAATTTTGTCCATCCATGTGCGGAATAAATTGTATGTGCACTGAGGCATGTGCAGATGTGCACCACCAGTAGAAACACCTGCTGGCGGCTGTGAGCAGTTGTGGGCACTCTGCCAATCAGCTGGGTGCCCGCCCAAGCGCTCAGCTTACACTGAACACTGGTTCTGGGGAGAGGGAGAGAGGGGACACGGCCCGTCTGTCCCCCCAGGTGTTAGAGAGGGGGCTGGAGTGGCAGGAGGAGCAGTGGTGAGGGCCGGGGAAGGGCACTGTAGCTCAGTCCCTGGCTGTGTGTCTCCAGGTGCGCCGAGCTGCTGCTGGAGCACGGGGCCCTGGTGAACCTGAGCACCAGGGACAGGCGGACGACTCCGCTGCACGTAGCCGCTGAGCACGGCCTGGAGGAGCACGTGCAGCTCTACCTGTGCTACGGGGCCGGCCTCACCCACCGGAACAGGGAAGGGGAGACGGCCCTGAACGCCGCCTGTGCCGGCGCCGACAAGCCCACCAAGGCCGGGCGCTACTACCGGGTGGCCAAGCGGCTGCTGGAGTGCGGGGCCGACGCCAAGACGGCCGGCAGGAAGAACCACACCCCCCTCCACAATGCCTGCGGCAACTGCCACCCCCGCCTGGTGGACCTGCTGCTCCAGCATGGGGCTGCCGTGAACGTCAGCAACTGCGCCGGCTACACGCCCATGGACTGCGCCCTGCAGGCCGTCGAGGAGTACCTGGACGGGCAGCCCGAGCGGATCATCGCCAGCCTGCTGGACCACGGGGCGGCAGCCATCAATCCCAAGGTGGGGGGGCACGTTGAAATCCTCAGAAATGAGGCAGGTTGTCTCGTTGGCCGAGGGTTGACACTGAGAAGAGTAAAAGCTTAGGGGGGTGGGGGGTGAAATGCTTTGCCCCTAATCCCCAGTCTTGGTGGGGCAGAGGAGGAGGGTTAATAGGCCTTTTCCTCTCCACCTCCTGGTTCTGTACAAGGCTCCCTTTGTGCCTGGGAGAGGGGTTCTTGCTTCAGGGCATAAACCAGCCACTCGCTGCTGGGGTTAGGAAGAAGAGCGTTATTATTAATTAGCTGCTTGCATCTTCCTCTGGAGTATCCAGGGCAGCCACGAGAGGCGGGGTCCTGGAGCAGATGGGCCTTGGGCAATTCTCAGTGCCTAGAGCCTTCTTGTAGGGCCCCAAGTCCCTCTGCAGGGACAGGCCTCCGTGGCAGCCTGTATAACTGCAGTCTCACAGCACAGCAGGGTGGGGTGAACCTCACTCCGGGCAAAGGGGGTTTTGTGTCCCTTCCAGAAAATATGCACATGGTTCCCTTTGCATGTGCTCCTCCATCTTGCATCTTCTCCTGCTGGGGTCTGGCCCTGTGACAGCTGGGAGTCCCTGTCCTCTAGGGCTGAGGCCCACCTCACCAGGCCATCGTCTCTGGCACCCTCGTCTTCCTTGCATTCCTCCTCTCCCTCCTGGCCGGCTCAGCAATCTTCTGCTTTCTCTCGCCGGGCTCTCAGATGCTGAAGTTCTGCTCCTTGTCCCCACGTGCCCTGGAAGTCGTGCTGAACTCCTACGACCGGATCCTGTCCTGCGATTCCTGGGTAGAAGCGGTGCCTCCGGAGATGTGGCAGGTACCTCCTAGCGTGCACCCCCATAGCACCCTGCAGGAAGCTGATCCAGAGCAGGGGAGAGGCACAGTGTGGGCCGCTCTGGGGGCAGAATGGGAGCTCGACTCCCAGATCAGGTATATCCAGGGCTGCGAAGCAGGGTGAGCATCTGCCACATGCAGCCCTACACTGGAGACGGAGGGCTAATTGGTCCAGTGCCCTTTGTGGTCACAGCCGATCCAAACGAGAGATGCTGCAAGTGGGATGCGAGCAGCCAGGAGACCCCGTTGGTTGGGTATTGTGTGTGCTGCCGTGAGCACAGTGCTGCTCTGAACTCAGCCAGAGGCAGCAGGGGACTCGGGTGGCTTAGCTGGGCTTGGTTTTCATGGAAGAGGCTCACGTACCCCAGTGAGAATTTAGGGTGCTACACCCCTGCCTAATACGCAGCCTGGTGCTCGCTCTGCCTGGGGTTGTAGGCAACACGTTGGCCGTCCCAGTACACAGCTGTATCGCGTGTTCTGCGTAACGTCGAGAATTTGGATCTCTGGGCAGCTCATCTGTGGGGACCAGATAGAGTCCCAAGCAGTGGATCTGTGGCTGCAGGAGCGACTCTGGAAGGAAGGGGTGGAAGAGCCATAGCTTGGGACGCTTAAAACTGGTCCAGTCCTGCATTGGTCAAGGGGACTAAATCCGTGGCTCCCACATGCAGCTGAGTGTAATGGTGACATCACTGGCTGGAGAAAGAGTGGGAGAGGCGGCATTAACACACACAGAGCTCTTGGTCCTCCCAGTTCCTAGAGAGGACTGGGGTTTAAGAGTGGACTGGCTCGTCAAGCCCTGGCTATGGATGTTAAATTTGATTAATCAGCTAATCGAGTAGTCGATGGAATTTCCATCAGCTACTCGATTAGTCAGTAGGGGGCTGCTTGCTGTCCTGCTGTGCCTCCCCCTCTGAAATGTATAAGAGTTGCAGGTGGCTCTTGTACATTTCAAAGGGAGAGGCCCAGCAGTCAGGACCTCGCGTGAGCAGGGACTGTTTTGGTCCCCGCTGCGCCACCTCCTCCCTGCAGAGATGGTGCTGGAGGGAAACAGTTTTTAAGCCTGCTCCTGCTCCCCCTCCCTCTTGGTGCCTTTGATAGAGAGGCAGCAAGGGGGGCAGGGGGAGCGACTAGTCAAGTAGTGACTCACCTACCTGATAAGCCAAGGTGTGTCAGGTAGTCAGCTAGTTGCTTGCGTCCCTAATCCAGGCCCCTGCTGTCATAGGCCACCCATCCTATCATCCCATTCATAAATTGTATTAAGCTCCATCTTAAAGCTAGTTCAGTTGTTTGCCTCCGGTGCCCCCTTAGTAAAGGTTGGGAAAAGGTTTTAACCATCAGAGGGAAGGTTCTGCAGCAGCCCCCTAAGTGCATGGGGGACTAATAAAGTGGGGTGCTCCTGGGGAGGAAATATGCTGCTGAACGCCCTGTAGAAGCCCCTCGTGTCTGCCTCTCCTGACTGCTGAGCCTTGTGATAGATGGAGCCTCATTGAATCTTCCTTCCCCCTCGGCAGGAGCACAAGACTTTCTACGACTCTGCTCTCCAGATGACCAACCAGCCCCGCCAGCTGCAGCATCTGGCGCGCTGCGCGCTGCGCACGTACCTGGGAGCGCGGTGCCATTCAGCCATCCCCGAACTCAAACTGCCCCTGTCTCTGCGGGCTTATCTGCAGCTCCCGCTAGAGGGCTACATCCGGTGACCGCGGAGATGCGTCCTTCAGGCATGATATTGGGGGAATGGCTTTGAATTGCTGATGGGTGACTGGGGAGAGCCAGTGGGTGTCAATGCAGACGGGGTATTCTGTCAGTTCACTCATGCTGAGTAGTAGCCCCGGGGGCTACTTACATGCTGCTCCGCAAGAGTGAGGCTGACACAGTCTAGCCCGTTCGTACTTTCATAACAAGGCTTGGCTTGTGCTAGCACCGGTTTCCACCCTGCTCAATAATACGAGGGCAAAGGATGGAAAATTCACAATGTAAAACTGACAGGGCCGAATAGTCTTCCCTGTGCAGTGCCGCATTGGCCTGTGGAACTCATTGCCTCAAGAGGTCATTGAAGCAGAGAGCTGAGCAGAACTCGGGGAAAGACTGGACATGGAGCTAGAGAACAAGAAAATGCTGAGTTAGAACTGCAATGCCTTTTAAAATACAACAGACCATCTATTTAAACCCCCTCCACTTTGGCCAGGAGCCAAATGCTGACCAATGGGATCAGGAAGAACGTCTCACTCGGATGGGAACAGAGAACGTTTCTTGTCCCCGGGACAGGTTACCCCACAACAACCTGGGTTTCCTGCATCAACCTCTGAAGCAGCTGGTACTGCCCCCTGCTGGCCACAGGTCACTAGGGTAGATGGTGCCTGGTCTCTGTGTTCCTTCTAAACTCCGCAGCTTCACAGGGGCTTAATCAGCCCTGCCCAGTCAGACGCTCAGGGCTCTGCAGGGAACTGATGGAAGGGGTGAGGCTGATTAATCACCAGTGAAGCTGGGCTGCCCTGCACCTTAGAGGGACTGCTGGTCTCCTTGATGTCACACTGGGGTTGGTTTGTTCTTTACAGGCAGTTCTCATCTGTAGGCTTTTTCTGAATCAACACCCTGATTCGATTGACAGCATTTGGCTTTGACTCTTGCCTGTACTGGGGTCAGAAACCCACGTCTTGGGGCTGCCAGACTGCGCTGTGGCCCCAAAACTATGCTCTGGCTATAAATATGCCAGCAGCAGCAAGGCACAAAACATAAGCACAGATCTGCCGCTCGGTTTGCGATGCCTGTGGCCTGTGCTGCATGTCCCTCCCAAACTGGAGTGCTCTTAAAGACAGAGGAGAGTGATGCAAAGGCCTAATGGACAGATCTGTAGCAATTGCCAGCCCAGAAGCCTATCTCATCTTGTGTCCAAGAATGACCAGTGCCAGCAGCTTTGGGTGGGTGTGTCAAGAACACCCCCCAGTGAGCCAATAATTTCCCCAGAAGGGATGTTTCCTCCCAACCCCTCTCAGTTGGCTTACAACAAAAAATAGCTAGCTTTCTTCATCTGAAAATCTCAAAGCATTTTATAAAGGCAGGTCTGCTTTACCACAGGCAAAAGCGAGGCACAGGGAGGTGGAAATGACTTCCCCAACAGGCCAGTGGTAGGGCTGAGACTAGCTCTCAGAATGCTAGCTTTGATCTAGCCACTAGGCCACACTGTAGCCCTTCTAATATAATTACGGATGGTCTCATTAGCTGAACTATTTTTCTTGAGCACAAAAGTTACATGCAGCTTGCAGTAAAATTATTCTGTTCAATTTATGCACTTTAGGGGCAGCCTGTGTTAGTTGTTTCCCAATGTAAAATAAAAAGCTACAGCAAATAAATTTAAAACCACGCTTGTCTTAAATCTTCCTGCATTGCTTATGTGACAGCTGGGGCTGGGGCTAGGGTCTGTGTTTTCCCTTGTTAATGAGGATCCTTAGCAGTTTGGGTGTTTACAATAAGCACTTGATTCTGAGGTCATCAGCTCTTGTATCTTAAGAAGGATACACTGAGAAGAGTAAAGGACCAGAGGTGGACAGTAGAAACCATTATGAGCAGGGCGGCAGGACTGACTTAGGAGACTGACTTTCTCTGGTGCAAGGTTTTTAAAAAAAACTCCAGGTTATGCAGAGGGCAGCAGATGGAAATATTTATGGGCCCCAAAGCAAAAGTGCAGTAACTAATATTCCTCTTCGTCATCTCCATGCCCTTCGCAACTGTGGGGAAGCACGAGGAGAGCCCTGCAAATCCATGGAACTCACTTTAAATCTGCGAGTGGCCGCGTTTTGTTTTTCCCAATACCAATTTTGTATCCAGGCAGGGTTCTAAGCACGAGCCCCATTTTACAGCTGGTGAACCCTGAGGCCCAATCATGACTTAGCCAAGCAAATCAACAGGGCAGGTGGGACTAGAACCCAGGTTCTTACACAGCTGCACTAACCCCTCTGCTTTCCTTTTTAGGGCGTGTGAATGTTTTGTCCCCAGTGCAGGGTAATGGTCCTAAAAACCAAACCAACCTGGGCCTGTACAACAGCGGCAGTTATTGATAATCTAGGCAAATATAACTTAGATAGGGCCACGATAAGGTGGGTGCATAATTGGCTGGATAACCGTAGTCAGAGAGTTGTTGTTAACGGTGCTAAATCCTGCTGGAAAGGGATAACAAGTGGAGTTCCCCAAGGGTCTGTTTTGGGACCCGTACTGTTCAATATCTTCATCAATGATGTAGATATTGGGATAGAGAGTACGCTTATTAAGTTTGCAGATGATACCAAACTGGGTGGGATTGCAACTTCTTTGGAGGATAGGGACATAATTCAAAACGACCTTAGCAAGTTAGAGAAATGGTCAGAGGTAAACAGGATGAGGTTTAATAAAGAGAAATGCAAAGTGCTCCACTTAGGAAGGAACAATCAGTTCCATACATACAAGATGGGAAGCGACTATCTAAGAAGGAGCATAGCGGAAAGGGATCTAGGGGTCATAGTGGACCACAAGGTGAATATGAGTCAACAGTGTGATGCTGTTGCAAAAAAAGCAAATATGATTCTAGGTTGTATCAACAGGTGTGTTGTAAGCAAAACTCGTGAAGTCATTCTGCCGCTCTACTCTGCACTAGTTAGGCCTCAGCTGGAGTACTGTGTCCAGTTCTGGGCGCCACATTTCAAGAAAGATGTGGAGAAATTGGAAAGGGTACAGAGAAGAGCAACAAGAATGATTAAAGGTCTAGAGAACATGACCTATGAAGCCAGGCTTCATGAACTGGGCTTGTTTAGTTTGGAAAAAAGAAGATTAAGGGGGGACATGATAGCGGTTTTCAAATATCTAAAAGGGTGTCACAAGGAGGAAGGAGAAAATTTGTTCCTCTTGGTTTCTGAGGACAGGACAAGGAGTAATGGGCTTAAAGTGCAGCAGGGGAGGTTTAGATTGGACATTAGGAAAAAATTCCTAACTGTCAGGGTGGTCAAATATTGGAATAAATTGCCAAGGGAGGTGGTGGAATCTCCCTCTCTGGAGATATTTAAGAACAGGTTAGATAGACATCTGTCAGGGATGGTGTAGACAGAGCTTGATCCTGCCTTGAGGGCGGGGGGCTGGACTCGATGACCTCTCGAGGTCCCTTCCAGTCCTATGATTCTATATCCTGCCCTGATCTTCTGGCACACCGGGCAGGGATCCTGCAGCAGAAGGAAAAACAAGTGCCTGCAATTGAAGGGGAGATCTTTGGGGAGGACAAGTCCCTTTGGGCAAGGAGTGCTGCCTGGCTGCTTCCTGCAGTGGAGACAGGCGGAGCTGCTGGCATGTTGAAGGTGCTGCTCGGGGCATGGTAGAGCCCAGCAGTTGTATTTTTATCTGATATTGCTGAGCCATTTCCTTGGTGACAAGGCCCTTCCTCGTGCCCTGGAAGCCAGGGCAGTGCTGTTCCCCTTTGTTCTCCCTCTGTAGAACAGGGATAATGCCTTAACCCATCTCCTATAGAACATTAGAACTGGAAGGGACCTTGAGAGGTCATTGAGTCCAGCCCCCCACCCTCAAGGCAGGATGTCTGTCCAACCTGCTCATAAATGTCTCCAGTGATGGAGCTTCCACAACCTCCCTATGCAATTTGTCAGGGTAGTTAAACACTGGAATAAAGTTTTTCTTAAACCTCCCTTGCTGCAGTTTAAGCCCATTGCTTCTTGTCCTATCATCAGAGGCCCAAGGGAACAATTTTTCTCCCTCTTCTTTGCTGACGGAAGTGAGAGGTGGGGCTTGAATCCAACCTCCTGCTCCAAGCCAGACTCTGGCACTGACATTCCCCTCCCTCCCCCCCGCAGTTGGAATACGACAGACCATTCCCCAGGTCACACCCTGCCGGACATGGCGGAATCAGGATCCGGGGCTCAGGTTGTAGAGGTGATACACGTGAGGATAGCAGCTGCAGGGACTCTGAAGACATCACTCGCTAGTGCAAAATGGTAGGGTTCAGGGTGGGAGAAGGCAGGGCCATCCCTACCGATGCTGGTGCCCTTTGCAGCTGAGGGAAAGGGGTTGCCAACACTCCCGGTCCATGCCAGGAGAGTTGACAACCTGGAGCAAGCAGGGAAGGCGGTGTGGGCTAGAGGAGCAGCAGGTGGTCACACAGCCGGCCAGAGAGACGTGGCCCCTTTACGGTGAAAGTCCTGCTTCTCTTCAGCCACCTGCTATGCAGCTGCTCCCTGCCCAGTCCTCTGGCCCATGAGGGGCACTCATCTCCGGTAAGTGGGGGCTGGGCACAGAGCCCTTTGGGTGCAGCTAGCAGAAGGGGCAGAGGGCGGGCTGTCACGGGATGGGGCGGCCAGAGCCTTAAGACAACATGCGGTTGCATAGGGCACAATAGAATTTGGATCAATATGGTGCCTCAAATGTCACGGTTCTTTGCACAGCTGTGTGTTTTGCCTCTTGGTAGGGGAGGGTTAGGGTATGTGGGTCTTTTTTTTCCCCTCTTTCCTCCTTGAAGCATTAAGCAGGGGCCACTGCCCCAGACATGATCATGTAGCATCACAAACTTTAGCCTGAGCTGGGCTGGCAGCTTGCACAGGGCAGCAGCCACACCAAATTCTAAGGGTCTGGGTCCCTTGAAAACATTGTAATGCAGGAAGCTTCTGTACAACAATGTGCCCCCGCCCTGGACGGGATGCGATCAGACGTGCTCAACCGTGTGATAATTGTACTTAGCCCCCTGCAGGATGTGGTTTCTTCTTAATTCCTTCTCCTGCTAGGTTACATCCTGTTGGTGTTTGCTATTAAACAAAAGCCATACTCTACCCAAGAGATGGCTACTTCTCCTTCCAGGGCGGTCTGTCAGAGATGGGGTCTGAATCTGGGTCCCCTAGCCCCTATCTCCAGTTCTACTATTCCCCTGCGGGATGGCCTAGCCCCCTGCAGGATGTGGTTTCTTCTTAATTCCTTCTCCTGCTAGGTTACATCCTGTTGGTGTTTGCTATTAAACAAAAGCCATACTCTACCCAAGAGATGGCTACTTCTCCTTCCAGGGCGGTCTGTCAGAGATGGGGTCTGAATCTGGGTCCCCTAGCCCCTATCTCCAGTTCTACTATTCCCCTGCGGGATGGCCTTGAGCAAGTTACCTCCCTGTTCCATGCCTCAGTTTCCCTGCATGTGAAAGTCTGGGGAGTGGGGCAGGAAGAGTTAAACCCCTCTAACCAAGCGAGGCCAGGTTCCTGGAGCCAGGCACAGCTCCTAGTCCCACCCCGACCCTGACCTTGTAGCCAGGCATGGATTCCAGGCACCTGTCTTTACAGCAAAGCTGTCTCATTGACTGAGCCTAATACTACCAGCCACTATATTCCTCACACAGTCCTGCCATTGCACTCTTCCTCTGCTGTGTCCTCAGAAAAAATAGCATATCTTTGTTAATGCTGCCTCCCTTTCAGCACTGTCCTTATGACTTCTGGTGCCTGGGGTGTGGGGCAGCAGCTGTTTCTTGTAACTGGACACGTGTTTCATAATCGTGCTTGTGGTCTAGTCACTAAACACTCGTTGAGTCACATCAGGTAATGGCTGACTGCTAAATAGTGACAAGTGTTTAAGGTGCTTAAATACACAAATGCTAGAACTCTAAACATGGGTGAACTCGAGTGCCTTGTATTGAATGAGGCTCTTAATAGAATGAGGCATCACAGGAACTTGGCAAAAGGAGGATAATTAATGAGACACAGAACCTCCTGAAATATTTTGTACCCTGGTATTACTAACAGGGTGTGCTGGTGGGCGAGTGGCACTAGATGTGAAAGAAAGGCTAGAATCAACTCGAGATCTTGGAGTCTATGTGGAAAGTTCTTTGAAAACATACTGTGTGCAATAGTTTAAAAAAAAAAAAAAAAATTAAGAAATGGATACATAATGAGACAGAAAATATCATATTGCCTCTATAAATCTGTGGCATGTCTGTATCTTGAATGCTGGGGGCAGATGTGATCACTTCCTCTCAAAAGAGAAATATTAGAATTGAAAAAGATTGAGAAAGGGCAACAAAAATGATCAGGGTATGGAACAGCTGCTATAGGAGGAGAAATTAATAAGACTTGAATTTTTCAGCTTAATAAAGTGACAGCTAAGAGGGGATATGGTAGAGGCTTCTAAAATCATGACTGGTTCCATGTTCCATATGGTTTCATCCAAAACATTTCATTTCCTAGCTTAACCATGGTACGGAAAGTTCTTCTAAATGTAATTTGCACTACTGTGGGCAGTTTGTTCTCACCCCCTCTCCTACTAATTATCACTTACTAGCACATTAAAAAATACCAAATAGTCCCTAACGTGCTGCAAGCCTAACAAAAAATGTAGATGGTATCATGAGTATTCGTGGGTACAACCCACTCACATGATTCCCCACCTACAACATGTGCTTTATTTCCGGCCACAGCCATGTCCAATGGGACCTCATAAATTACCCGTTTGCACCATACATTTGGGTGGCTGTCCATCTGCTTTTACTTTCCCTAGAATGTTAGTGTCCAACCTGTTCTGTAGCACTGCACTCCAGCAGCACCACTGCACCCCAGTACGTTTCCCAAGGCTTTTCCTGGAGTGATTAACATCTCTAACTGCTGGCTCAGCAGTAGAGTCCTGTGTGGGCCTATTTTTTAATACCTACTCCACATGGTTCTTTAATGTCGAGCTGGCTCCTGCTATGACCCATGCGAGTCCCGCAGGACCCAGGGGCTCCCAGTCCCACAGCGGGGCATTACGCAGCATTTGGACCATTACAACCTTGTGGGTTCACCCCTTCCCCTTGGCCCCACCCTGCAGCCAGAGTCTCCTAGGTCTTGTCTTTTCTGAGCTGCCCCCCAGCTTCTGCCCCACTTCCTGGGGACACTGCTGGGCTGAGCTAGCCCCTGCCAAGTTACCCCCTTGCCTCCCTTATAGGGACCACAGAAGTGGAAGCCACACCCCTTTGTTACAAGCCCCGCCCACTCGTCCTGGCGCCGCCCCCTGCCCAACTCTCTTGAAGGGACCTGTTATGGAGGCGGGCTTGGATCAATCCGACCAATCGCCTGCCTCCTGGCCCCGCCCCTTTCCCTCGCGGCTCATTTTAACTACGTCACCAGCGTACGCCGACGCGCTCCTCCCCCACCATCCGACCCGCTGGGCGGGTCCCTCTGACGTTCGCAGCGCGCGCGGAACGTAGTTGAGCTCGGTGGGCGCGCGTCTGACGTAGGCGGCGTGTGCTTGTGACGCGGCGTATGGGGCCTTCGGCAGGGAGGAGGCGTCTG